CATGGCATTAGAGCTGGTACACCGTTGTCGCTTGCGAAATCAAAATGACGGTGCCTTGAGTGGAAGTTTACAGATAAAGGGGCGGCAATATTATAATGAGATCCCTTTGATTTTCTCAGACGCTTGCAGAAAAAGGCTTACCAAAACAAAGTTACTGGGTTAATCTTTTTCATGTTTCCTTGTTTGGTAGATGCACCGGGGACCTGATTATAGCACTTAAAACCTGGAAAAGTCAGATTTTCATGATATGTCACCTTTAATAATATCTTGTAGTGTGTGATGCACCTCGGTTTTCAAATCTTGAAAGGGCACTTTTCCGTCGGCGATTAAAGGGGCAGGGGCTTGAGCCCCCCGTGCACACCACGGATTATCTATGAGTGTAAAAGCTCAGCGTTCACCTGCCGCTGTGACTGACGGGTGTGTTTGTTCTGCTGTCTGTCTGTGTGAGTGAGTGAGTGTATGTGGCTCAGAGGTCAGCTGTGGACGGACCCCGAGGACTCGAGCCGTCGTGTCAGCGCTGATCACTTTAACGAGTGAATGCGTTAGCCGGCCTCCCCTCTGCTCACCATATGCTCCCTATCAGTGCTGATCAGAAACACACATTCACTCGTCAGGAACAGTGTGCTGCCTTTATGGAATACAACACAAGTGAGAATAATTCATTATATTAAATTAGATAAATTTTTTATTTATGTGACATTTATATTATGCATTTTCTCACTTGTGCTGTATTCTTAAAAGAAAATTATTGTAGATTTAATGTGTGTAAAATACAGAAGCACTGATTTTTTTTTAAAAAAATTTTACATTATATAAATACTTTTTTAGCATCAGTAGGTTGTCATATTAAAATTTGTATTACTGTTGCATTTAAAGAACTTTTAAATTGGCCTACATTGACTTTTTTAATGTTATGATATTGTTTTATTTGAACGGATTGATTAAAACGTAATTCTAATCGTATAAATGTAGTGTTTTAATTATTATATTTTTTATTATTATTATAAAATGAATTGCATTAAAATAACTTTTAAATTGGCCTACACTGACTGTTTAATGTCATGATATAATATTTTATTATTTTCATTGATTAATGTAATTGTAATTGTAGTGTTTTATTTATTTTGTTATTATATTTTAAAATTATTATAAATTAATTAGCACAAATTATTGAAATCATTAGGTATATTTTATGTATTTATATTATGCATATTTTAATAGTAAATTATTTTAGATCTCTTTAAAAACATTTCATTTTATATTTATTAGCGTCTCTTTATATTCTCTGTAGGCCTAAGAGTATTATATTTGTAACAAAACTGAACGTTTCTGTAGTTTTAGTTGAGCGCCTTTTACCTACAATTATCAAACCATTTAATAATCAAAGATACAGTTATAAATGTCACATTCAAATTTGCTTCCTTTGAAAATCTAGAGACACCATGTGTCTGCGCAGACCTTCACTAAATACACAGGGATGTTATTCAGACACACCCTGATTGTGAACCCTATCTAGTGCAGCGTGAGCAGCTGCTGCCCTCTGCAGGCCGTCACATCCATTACAGTTCATCCAGATCTGTGCAATTCTCTGACATTAACATCCATCTCTGCTGATCTGACCCCATGCTTTTCTGCTGACTGCCATTTATGTCTGGTAATAATTTCTGTGAGCTTTTACATGACTGCGCACATATCACACACTAGAGCAGGAAGTTATTAATACACAAAGTAAATTAAAGCAATAAGCCCCAAGAAGCTGTGGTTTACAGTGAATTCATAACAGCGGAGCAGAGTGCCTAAAACCCCCTTAGCTGTTATAAATTCACTGTAAACCACGGCTTCACTTGGCTTACTATTATAAAACAAAGCAAATCAAATGTAATGATATTAATAAAAACATTCTTCCGCCAAACAATGTAGTTCCTCAGAAACGGTTGGTTGCAACAAAGTGGTTGCCGAGCATCACACAGACGCAGAAACAAAGAGGTGTATGTTTGTAGAGTAATTTACAACAGCTTCGAACGCGGCTCAACCAATCAGAATCAAGGACCGGCACACTCCGTTTTATAAAACAAATTCGTCACACTTGTTCCAAAATAGACGTCACCACATAAACACCCCTGATGTTTTGAGCAAAATGCTTATTTTATTTGCAGACTTCTGCATTTTTTAAAATATATTTAATATTTTTTATTTTCTTTTGCTAATGCCATTTAATATTTAATTGAATGATTACATGTAATTCTAATAGTATTCATGTAATATTTTCATTATTAAAATATTATACATTTTAAAAGTTATTTTATCCTGTAAATTAAATTGGCAGAAGTGGCAATTATATTCGCTTATTTTATTTGCAGACTTCTGCATTTTTTAAAATATATTTAATATTTTTATTTTCTTTTGCTAATGCCATTTAATATTTAATGTGAATGATTACATGTAATTCTAATAGTATTAATGTAATATTTTCATTATTAAAATATTATACATTTTAAAAGTTATTTTATCCTGTAAATTAAATTAGCAGAAGTGGCAATTATATTTAATATTTTTTCATATTTTAATTAAATGTAATTTGAATAGTATTGGTGTAATATTTAAATTGTTAAAATAAAAAGTTACACGTTTATATTAATATAATTTTAAATTAAAATAATATATATTAAGTTGTTTTATAATCTAAATTATCATTTTAAAGTAGCACAAGTGACAGCAATAAATTATATTTAATAAGTATAATTAGTAAATAAGTTAATATTTTAATTGATACAATTTTATTTGAATAGTATTCATGTAATATTTTAATTGTTAAAATAAAATTACACGTTTATATTAATATGGCAATAATAAATGTAAATTGTGTGATTACAAATATTCTT